TGCCCACGTGTCTGCTTTGTTCTGGCTTTCTTGCGCTGAGTGCCCACCTCTGTGGCTTCACACCTCACTGGGCACAGACTATCCTCACCCTGGCACACAGCAGAGCGGTTTGAAATGGTCTGCTTGTGCAGTGAAACGCGGCGCTTGTTGCAATGGGAACACCAACAACTGCACTGCCCATCCTGCCAGCCCCAGTCTCCTTAGCTGTACCATGGGCAGCCTGACTGCCATGTAGACATCATAGCCCACATTTTGGGGGCTTACTGTTTCTCCTCCTCCTGAGTGCTGGCTCCCCCTGATAATCAGTAAACAGAAGCTCCTTCTGGGGTCTTACCTGTAAGTATAGTTCTCCAAATTTTTTTTCTTTTTCTCATCTGGAATACATTAATTTGTGATTTGTAATAATCAAAAGGTTATTAAAGATCACCGAAAGTAAGATCTCTATTTTAGGGTTTGAATGAGAATTCCAGCTACTCACAAGACCAAGTGCCTGAGACGTGAGCACACTTTTGAGCTCCTGGCACATGGGCAGCACCCACTGCTAGGATGAGGCCACGGCTGTGGCCTTGAGTGGGCTATGTTCTCAATCATGGCTCTCTGGCTAGTATGAGGTAAGCACTTGCAGCTCTGTTCCATGGTCAGTGGTTACCTGGTGAGAATCAGTGACACACGTGCACGCGAGTGGTGATAGGGGCCTGGGGCTTTCCAGTAACAAGGCTTTAAGCTCCACGTGCCCCCAGTGCTAAAGCAGACACACACATGAACTGTCTCAAATCAGCTGGTTCAGGAGCACCCTGTGGGAGAGGGGCCACCTATCATGAATTTGGGCCATTCAAAAAGCTTGCCACATCTTGGCAGGTACACAAAACAACAGCCCTGGGAGATTTTAGATTTACAGAGCATTGTTTCAGGAGATAAGATCATGGGCACATGTGTACCCTTTCCTGTCCTGGAGTAAATGCCCAGTGACTCAGAGCTGTCATTAGGAACAAGTCTGTCTATTCAGCTTCTCACATGATTCTTCTCTAGTTGGGAGTCATTGAGGTGTTCTTTTCTCCCTGCAAAGTGGGAACAGGAGGGGCTGTGGAAGCTGTTGTCCCACCCCCTATCCAGCCTGCCTCTGTGAGTGAGTGCTGATGCCTGGCACACTGAGGCAGAGGGGAGGGTGGCAGCAATGGGACAGATGGCTTGCCAAGATGAGCTTTGGGAGCGTAGCCTCCCAAGCACAGTGCTTCTCCAAGCACCACACGGGCCTCCCAGCTCCAAACTCTTTGAAGACATGACCGCCCTCTAGGGGCATGAACAGAGCTGATGGAGAGGGGCGGGGTGACACAGACTGACCGTGGGCAAAGCCCTCAGGCTCTCCGCTACCCGGCTCCCACCTGTGAGATGGAGATAACAAGACCCACTCCACCCTGCGACCCTTGGGATTTACAAGTGATGCTATGACATGGACAGGAACCTCCTCCATGTCCAGCTCCTTCCTCCAACTATTCTCTCTCCACCAGCACAACTCCCCAGTAGGCTCCTACTGGCATCTTGCCAGGCCTTCTATCCTCCCAGGAAGTACAATTCTGCAAATGGCAAGGTCTTTGAAGGAAGATGTTTTGTAAATATGGGGCTTTCCAATCTTGAGATCCCCCAGGACTCTCTGGGAAGGCTCCTTGGGTATCAGGAAGGATGGGGCCGTTCCCCAGCCCTCTGATTTCCCATAGTACATTCTGGGAGTCAACAGCCCTAGCGTCAGGACCCTTGTCTCTGAGGCAAGAGTCTGTGGCTCCTTAAAACATACTGTTTGCATATTATGGTTCGGCTTCACCTCGTGAACCTGAGGGCCAAGTGTCCTTTCTAAAATTCAAACAGGAGTTATGAGTCGCTAGGGGTCAAACCAGGCCAAAGGCATGCTTTGCTTAGTACAGACAGTTGTAGTTTTTAATCAGGAGATATTACATAAAAATAAAATTAGATAAAATGAGACCCCAGGCCTACATTCCCATGTAGTGAAGAGTTGGCAGGACCCACACAGCAGCTCTCCAGGTCACCACAGTCCCCACCACTCCCTATCACTTGCCACCTGGCCTCTTCAACACCTGCTTGGCCTTGCTGGCATCTGACCTTGCAACCCAAGGTGAGAGGCTGATGGGAGGAAACTCAGGGGACTCTTCATTCTGCCTTTCCCAGCCTGGATGCCCTGTAGAGCTGGCAGTGAGGCCCATGAGGTGCATTTGAACCCAGCCCTCTCCACGAACTGTAGGCCGGGAGCCTTACCTTGCCTGGCACCAAAACCCGGGCTTCCCCACCCTGCATGTCCAGGCTACAGCTAGAATGCACTCTCTCTCCCTTCACCTGGCACTGGATGGCTCAGGCTTCCTGAAGATTCTTTCACAATTAAGGCACTTCAAAAAGGTTAAAAGGGAGGAATCAGCAGGGAGTGGGGGTGGGAGGGATGGAAGGTGGTGGGTGGGATGGAGGAATCTGACCAGTGATATTTAATAAAAAGCTTAAAAGTCACAAACAGGAAGCAGGCAGACTAAAACGTTAACATTGACCTGATGAAGGAATGTGAACTACAGTGGACTGAGGCAGTGCCCCTACACCCCTCCTCCCTCCATTCCCACCCCAGCACCCCGAGAGGCTCCCTCCACTCCCACCCCAGCACCCCAAGAGGCTCCCTCCACTCCCACCCCAGCACCCCGAGAGGCTCCCTCCATTCCCACCCCAGCACCCCAAGAGGCTCCCTTCACTCCCACCCCAGCACCCCAAACAAGACGCCTCTTGGTTCTTGCCTGCCCTGGGAATACCCCAGCTCTTACTTTGCCTTGGCCTACAGGAAGAGAGCTCAGGGGAGGTCAGCATGATCCTAGCAGTCCCCAAAGGAGGAGACCATGAGCTCTTCCCTCCGCCTGGTCCAGCAGGGCCTCAGAGCTGTTTAGGGGAAGGATGAGTGCTCTGCAGTATGGCTCCCGACCCAGCTGAAGGAATCCCGGGATCCCTCCCTCCCAGAAAGCTCACAATAGCCGGGGCAGACACGAGGCCTTCGGGGACTGAGGTCTGGATGCTGGCCTGTCTGGCTCATGCCCCCTGCATGCGCCCTGGAGTCCAGAGAGGGGCCCTGTGGGCTCCAGTTTCTGAGGACAACCCACAACCAAACTGAAGGGATGCACAAAGACTCCTGTTTGGCTGAGGTGAGAACGCACAGCCACTGTGGAGCAGTGGGGAGGACAGGACAGAATTTTAGAGCTTCACCGCTGGAGGCCTCCCATGGCTGGGTACCTCTGCCTCCCCTGCCCCAGCCCCACCTTGACAGAGGCCTTAGGGGCTGCAAACAGGGAGTAAAGTGCCCTGGAGAAGCACAGCCTCTGTGACCACTGTCCTCACTCATGAGAAGGCAGATGCTATCTTTGGGCAGTGGAAGGATTTTGGAAGGAAAGGGTTCCCTGGCAAGGCTGTCAGGAGAGGGAAGGGTGATCATGCCACCTGTGAGCACCGAGGCAGCTCGGGTCTCTGTTTTCCAGCGGGAGCCACGGCACTACCTTCTCTCTAGGAGATCTGACACAAAATGCCATAAACCAACCTTGGTTGCTCCCCTGATCCAAACCTCCCCATGGCTTTCCATCCTCACAGGATCAACCTTGAGCCCTGGAGTTATGTAGAGGACAGTAACATGTCAATATAAAATCAGGAGTGGGTAAAGGTGTTCCCCGTAAAATTCTTCAACTTTGCTGTATGTTTGAAAATTTTCGTAATTTTTACTGTATTATGAAATACAACAGAATTGTACTGGGTTAGTTGTATCTGGTACAATTGTATAGGGGATAAAGGATAGTGGGGAGCTGGGGGTGGTGGCACACAACTGAGTCCCAGCTATTCAGGAGGCTGAAGCAGGAGGATGGTTTGAGACTGGGAGGTCAAGGCTTTAGTGAGCCTTGATTGCATCACTGCATTCTATTCCAGAGACAGAGTGAGACTGTCTCTAAAAAAAAGGTAGTGGCTCATGGCGCATTTGTAGGAACACAGGCTTCCGTCCTTCCCATGGCTCCCGGTGCACAGTATGAGCCCTGGCCTGTGTCCTGCACACCTCTCTGCTCAGTGCACTTCTGCCAAACAACTGACCTGCAAATGCACTTGGAGCTCACTGTCACCCCAGGGCCTTTGCCTTCACTTCCCCCTTGCTGTGGCATGCTCTCCCTGACTACCCATGTGGCTCCTTCCCTCCCTCTGTCCTTCCCTGATCACCCTATCCAAAGCAGCATGCTCAGCAATTCCATCCCATCCCTGCTTTATCTTTCTACGCGGTGCCTACTGCCATCTGACAGGGATTTCTTTAGTATGTTTATTGTTTGTACCTTCCTACAACTGTAAGCTCCATATCCCCAGCACCAAGCACAATGCCTGTGACTCAGAAGAACACGATGCATTGTAGGCTGAATAAATGCACAAGTGATTGAAGGATGAGTTCACTGACAAAATCCAAGGGCTCTCCAGCAGCAAACACACACCCTCTGACCCAGCCCGTGGACAGGCCCCAGCACAAACTCAGTGGGCAGTGCTGAGTCTGGGGGTCTGTGCTGGGCAAAGGAGGGTGACAATTCACATCCCTGGAAACCCTACCAGGTGCCAGGATGGTATGCTAGGCCCCCAGCGGTCTCCCTCAACTGCTCTCCTCCAAACTGCCTGTAAGCTCAATCTTATTCCTGCCTCCACAGAGAAACCGAGGAGCAGGCCCAAGTCCCCCTCAGATGGTAAATGGTGCAGTGGGAACTCAGACTCCAATCTTGACCCTGCTCAGACCAGATCTTCACTCCACATCCAGGCTCTTCTCAGAACCCATACTGGCTTCCCAGCCAGAGGCCATGCCGCCATGCAGGCCAAGTCACCCCGTGTCTCGGTAAAGGCAGGATTAGGAACCTGAGCCGAGGAGCGCCGCCTTGGCACTGCCTCTGCCATCTCTCTGTGCCCCGCACGGTGTCCCTAAACTGGGAGGAAGTGGCTGCACTTACCTGGGATGTGGATCTTGAACTTGCCGCTCTGGCCGAAGGCACTGTCGATGATGCCCAGTTCTCCAGTGGACAGGTGCACCTTGAGCCCCACGAAGAGCTGGATGTTGGTCTCCTTTTTAAACAGGGAGCGGCCGATCACACTGTAGTCATCCATCGCCTGTCCCCACACACCCAGCCACAGACAGAGGGCGTTAGTGGTGCACACTGAAAGAGCTGTGACTGTGTGCCTAGCCCCAGCTCTCCCGGGCCCTGGGCATGGCTGGCTGCTGCCTGCTCTAGGAACCCTGGGGGTAGCAGGGCAATGAGCCCACCTAACAGATAACGAAATGCATGGGAGCAGGGCAGAAACCTGGGACTGACAACTGCCACTGTAACAATGGGCCCTTCAAAACTGGCACGCTGTGAGCACTTTCCACAGAGAGCACCTCAGTCCCCACAGCAGCTCTGTGGCGGCACTTTACAGATGAGGAAATGGAGGCATGGCACAGTTCTGTCATCTATCCAAGGTCACAGAGCACAGGGGGTAGAAGTAGCTTTGAATTCAAGCCCCTGTTGCAGGCCCCCCCACCCCCAGGGGGCCACAATGACCCAGCCTGTCCCCAGGGCACCTGCCTAGATAGCCAGCAGCACTCTCCTTGAAGCTGTCACAGTCACCCAGGCCACTCCTGAGCCTGCATCCGAGGCCTTCTAGAACTGGCCTCCTCATTCCAGTTTCCCCTCCCACAGGAGCCCTGGAAAGCCTGGCCTTTGTCTCCCACCCGCTGCACACACCCCTATGCACGTTGGCCCGAGGCTTTACTTTTGCTCACTCTAGCTGTGCGTGGAAGCCCGTCTTGGCCTGGCCCACTTTTCCTCCACAGGCCTACCTCCTTTCCTCCATGACACCCTCCCTCAGTTCAGGCAGAATTGCTTGTTTCCCCTAGCCCCTGTTGGCCATGGCCAGGCCTTTGCAGAGCTCGTATCTCCTGCTGGCCACGTTGGCCACTGCTGTCACTTTGTGGGTGCCCAGGCTGAGAGGAGGGACACACATGTCTGTGGAAAAGTCAGCTTGGTGTAGCCCTGATTTCACCATGAGCTATGTTCATCCTGAACCTTCTCCCCAGAGGCTCGATCAGCAACTGGTAGTGTCACTCCCTCCCTTCTGAGTCTCTGGCAGCTCCAGCCCAGGTACCGCTTTTGGGATGGCAGCATGGCCAGGTGGCCTTGCCTGCCCTGCCCAGCTCCTCACCCCACCCCTGCTCTGTAGATCCTGCCTCCAGTAGCAAACTTGGGCCCCATGATAAGAAAAGCCCACCAGTCTGACAGCTGCTATGGAAATGAGCAATGCACATACAATCTGCACCATCAATTTCACTTCTAGGAATGCAACCCACTGATGTGCTTGCTGGAGAAGATGTCAGGATAGGAGATCCACCCAAGGTCACTCACTGCAGCAGTGTTTACAGCAGCAAAAGTTGACAATGACTTAGAAGTCCAGCCTGAGTTCAACAAGTGGAGCACAGCCTCCAGAGGTGATGATGTGACCACAGAGAAGAGCAGGCAGCATGTACGGACAGATACAAAAACTCCTAGAGTATTGTGTTTCACATTAAAAAGCAGAGTTCGAGGCATAGGGCATGTTGCAGGCTGTGTATGGATGGGGGCAGGGCAGGGGTGCATACACAGAAGTAATCAGGAGAAACTGATGTCTCCAGGAAAGGGAGCAGGGTGCCTGGGGACTTTTCACCATATACCTTTTCTATCTTTGGCTACTGAAATACATGAATGCATCACCTATTCACAAATAAATTAATAGAATTTAAAAATGTAAAAACAAACCAAGAAGTGCATTTCTTCTACCCACACCAGTCGGACCTCCCATCCTCTCCTGACATCTCCAAAGACAGAACATTTTCCTTTGATGGCCTCTGGTCTAGCAAGGGTGACAATTGCAACCCCTCGTCCCCACCCAGGCAGCTTTCATTGGTTCTCATGCATTGTGGTCACCCCAGAGAGCTACTACTCGGGCCTCTGCATAGCTAGGCCCTGGGGTTACATCTGACTGAGATATAAGACCTGCCCTCCAGCATTGCAGTGGCCAAGAAACAAAAAAGGCACAGTCCCTGGACTAAGAGCTTGCAACTTTCCCAGAGAAACAGCTTGTAAGAGGCCCCACCAGGACCAAAGGGATAATACAGGCAGGTGTCCTTAGCAGAGCAGAAAGTTCTCAATAAGTCGATATTAATGTTCTTGTTTTACTCCTACAAGAGCCTACCATGAAACAGGCCTGTAGCTGTGAACAATCACATGTGCTAGAGGAACATAACAGAATTCTCCCTCCACCCCACAGCCCACAGCCTTTGCACTTCTCAGCGACAGATCCTATGAGTGCCTCATCTCTGTGCAGCCCCTGGTGCCCAGCAGCACCCGGCCCAGAGCAGGCTCAAATCAAGACCTGGTGCCTACAGCATCCTCTGTGGCCCACGGCTCCCTCTTCCTATACTCTAGCCCCCACTCCTCTCCAATCTTCATCCTGCCCTGTCTCTCTTCAGAGCACAGATCGCCACCTGACGTTATGCCATTGATCTTATCTGTTTACTTGTTTATTGCTTCCAACCAGAGCACAAGCTCCAGGCAGAAATATGTCCCTCTCCTTCACAGCTACCTTCCCTGCACATGAAACAGGCGCTTACTATCTATTCCTTGAATGTGTGAGTAAATGTTGAAAGAATACATGGCTGTAGTTGTTGGTACATTTGCAAGGCTCACTCATGCCTGTAGGCTTTTTTTTTTTTTAACAGCTTCATTCAGCTATAACTGATATACAATAACATGAACATATTAAAAGTAAATAATTGGATAAGTCTAAATTTGTGTATACATATACATGCCTGTGAAACCATCATCATGATCAAGCTAATGGACGTATTTATCACCCCCCGGTCCTCATATCCCTCTGTTACGCCTCCCTCCCTGCCTGTGTGGCGCTCCTGTAATGCTAGTCCCAGCTTGTCCACTGGGGACTCTACTCCCACCTAAGGCCCACCTTGGGCATTTCCTCCTTCAGACAGCTTCCCGACATTGCAGGCACCTCCTCTCCCCTTGGCCCCCAGGACTGAGGCCAAGACCCCTCTGTTCTGAGAGCCTGGCCACTATGTCTTATCCCTGACAGCTGACCTGTCTGTCTCCCTCCTCAGACTGGGAGTTCTGCGAGGAAAGGGTTCCATGTACCTCACGTGGCCCCGACCCACCACAGGCTTGGGGAATGGGCGCTCACTGAGTGTGAGGAGGCCAACTGCACTAGTCCCATGCATGACATCAAGAAGAAGACGCCGGGGGGTAGAAATACATTACTCAAGTGGCTATCCCAAGGATATGTCCTTGGGAGACACGATTCATCTGAGAGTGAGCCAATAGCCCAGCCTGGGCTAGTTTCCTCCTGTCTACCTGGGAGAACACAGTGACAGATCACTGTGCTGGCACAGTGACAGTCCCCAGTGCTGGTTCCCTCATGCTAAACACAGCAGGCCCACTGCTCAGCCTCCCAGTGGGCCTAGAGGCCTGGCTCCAGGGTAATCAGAGCCTGGGATGGCAGGCATGCTACCTATTAGCCTTCCAGAAGACGTTTACTACATCTTCTCCCCTGCCCCCTCCTTTCTTTTGGTTATAAAATATTAACTTTAAAAAGCTAAATGCCACAAAGACAGCAGAGGATCCATCTTTCCCCAAGCCAGGGTCTTGCAATGAGGGCAGACTAATTTTATTAACTTCAGGGGAACTTCAAAAAGCTCCAGGGCTTTCATGCCAGACAGAGACGACCCCAAAGTTAGTTTAAGTGCTACATAAACAAAAGACTAGGGCCAGGGGAAGCTGAGGGCTCCAAGCGTTCCTTGTTTATGTTCTCATCTGACCTAGTGGGCCAGTGCACAGGCTGGTTGGCCCCCGGAATCCTGCTGGTGTGTGGTGCAGCTCGGTTCACTGACCTACATTCCCACAATATTGTTTTAAGCATCCGGGATAAGGTAAGGAGTGAGTGGGCTTTTTCTGACCTTCTGAGGAGGGCCTCTGGGGCTGGAGTGGCAGTTTAGAAAGGATTTCAAGTTCAAAGGGAGTGTCTCTGTCGCTCCTGCTCTCTTGTTTTATGGCTTGGCTAGAAGACACAATAGTGCTGAGTGGGTGAAGCATACTCTCCTGCGAACTTCTGTGTCTGCAATTCCATTTGTTGGGGGAGGCACTGTGAGGGCAGGAGCTGGACGTCTGCACAGTCAGGAACCCCGTGTGGTCTCGAGAGTGCTGGCAAGACTGCCTGCTAGTGGCCCCACACTGTCATTTCACAGCAGCTGGGTGGATCTTTGCATTTGTGTCGGTCCCACAGAGGACACTGGCACTCTGGGCATGGCCGCCCCAGGGGAGGGGAGGCTGGGGAAGCAGAGAAAAGTCAGCCATGTCATGGGTGAGGTGTCCCCATATCGTTATTTAATCTTTAGGAAAGCCCTGACAGGAACAGGAGGCTCAGTAAAGTGAAATGATTTGCTCAAAGTCATGCAGGTAGTGAGTGTGGCAATGCCCCATTCCACCTCAGACTATCTAGATCCAGAGGCTGGTGCTTTTCCTGCCGCAGGAAGGGCTAGGCTCTGTCTGCCGGGAGATGCCACAGCAGCAAATGGGCCCAGACGACTTTCTCCATCCTTTGGCTCACCAGAGCCATGCCATGACTGGCTGGACACAAATGGGCCTAGAAATCTGGCCCAGGGACACTGGGCAGCCCCATCCCTGCCAGTCCCAGCTATGGGAAACCCCAAGTCACTGCAGAAGACAATCCCCAAGTTCAGGGACCCCAGCCCCTCCCAGGTTATTTGGAAGGGAGGAGGAGAGGAGGGAAAGAGGGCAGATCCTGGCCCTCAAGATGCAGCACTTATAGTAGGGCCCAAATACGTCACTGTCACACGAAGATGTTCCAGCCCAGTCAGCCCCTGCCGCACTGAGAAGGACTACACTGCTGTTGGAGGAAGGCTAAACTTTCCCCACCTATGGTTATAGGGGCCAAGAGGCAAACTGCCCTTCCCATGAAATCCAAATAGTCAATTTCCAGTAAAGCAAGTCCTTACTTCATGTCATCGAAAGTTCTTAGAAACTGTTACTTTAAACAAAATAATGCACAGCAGGCCCTTAAATAAT